TTTGAGCTTCCAATTCCTTATTTTTAGCAGCTTTTTTCCTTTCTAGTGCTCTACAGTTGATCATATTGTGCCCCAGCTTACGATAGAATTTGCAGTATTTAGGGACGCCTTCGAATTCAATTTTTTGCACAAAACCTTTTTGAGGAGCATTGTCATATGTTTGTCCAACATAAACAGAATTAGGCTGGTCTTTAAGCAGGACAATTTCGACTTTGACTTTGGCCATACTAGGTCTTGTTCTTCCTATAGTAGCCAAATCCATTTCAAGGGGAGTACCAATTGCACTCACCACTTATTTAACATAGTTCCATGTGTGCATATGAAAAGGTAAACCAGGAAGGAGAACCCATACCGGAGCAATAGGCAGGTCTTCTTCAGGCTTGAAATTCGGGGACCATTTTTGGAGTCATATATCTGCTGCCCTTCGATTTCAATAACCCTTCTAAACCAAACTGAATTAAAATCTTCTTCATTGGTGAAATCAAGGAAAACGTTGTAGTTGTCTTAAATCCCAATCTTAACAGAGCCCTTAATCGAGATTAACTCCTTGAATTTTGACCTTATTTTGTCAATTTGAGGCCTTGGTTTAAGGAATCGCCCAACAATTGTGAGCTTTCACTCTTCAGCCATAACACCATAATAGTTTGTTACTTTGAAAAGAACCGTCGGCATTCCATTATGCATGGTATGAGTAGCAATGACAGAGTCCCTGCCATGGCGATTTGGAGGAGTCAGAGTGTTTGAGGAGGAGATGACCTTGGTAGCATAGGATAGTTTTGTATCAATTAGATCAGTAGGTTGGTTCACCGTTAAATTTGGAGTCGATTGACCTTCCAGACGCAATCCGGCGGATCCATCGGTGGGCGCGTGTAGTGAACGTTGGTTAGAAAATAGCCGTTGATGTTCTGTTTTAGAGAGAGAATGTAGATCGTGAATGTGATGCGAGAATTGTTGTACTCGTATTAGAATAATGCCATCAAGGGATAGTTTAGAAATTAAAATACTTTTTTTAATGATTAAAAAGTAGAAGTTAGAGATATTTTAGGCAATATACGTATATGGTTTTAGCAATTAATGAAGAAAGCTTTACTTCGTGTCTCTATATAGTGTTTAGTAAGTCATTAAAGGTTAAAATATATTTAAATGGCATTAAATATAGAGAACTTTATATTATACAAGGACGACAATAAACTTATATTGAGTGATAGCTAATAAGTAAAAGATTGATGAGCTTTTTGATTAAGAGTCCCTTTCATAAATGAAGAAATAAACGACCTTGGACTTGCTTAATTATCAAAAGCATAGGCTAATCAGGTCTTGCTAAACTGGAAAATGGTGGAGGACGATGGATTAAGAAGTACTTTGTGCAAATTTTTTTCTATGGAACCGTAGAGGGGAAAGAGCGAAAAGGCTATGTCTTATCCTCTACTCAAGAAGGGCAGTAAGTTTCAAATACATACTAGTATTACTTTTGCTTTAATTAAGCTATGTGGATTAACTATAGATTGAGATGCGCGTAAGTTGGACCGAACGTTATGATTATTAAAAAAACTACGGATTGAAAGATCTTTGTTGGTCCACCTTTTTTCTTGTACTGAATATAGAGGCCAGATTTTATCCATTTTCTAAACCTTGGCACTAGCTATAGGATCAAACTCAAAAGGAAATTCCTCATTTGTTAGACAATACTATAGGGTTGGGTTCTCCTGCTCAAGATCATTCCTCATTTGTTAGACAATACTATAGGGTTAGGTTCTCCTGCTCATTTGTTAGACANAGGGGGTGTAGGTTAATAATTTGCTAATTACGTAAAAGTAGCATTACAATAAGGTCCCTTGGACAACTAGCAAATACATCATTAACAAAACTAGGAAACAAAAGGAGGAGTCTATTCTTGAACTTGGGCATGCTAGCTAGGGAGGTCACATTGACACCAGTTTGCACCAGCAATATGCATGCTTTCCCATCTAACTTGCCCTTGTAACATTGACCTTAACTCGTTTTGTTTCTTCTGAGTACTTTATGAACTTGGAGTAACATTTCCTTTCACACGTTCATTTATTTGTGAAAAAAAAAGAAGCAATATTTATATACGCAGTGTCCGATAAGTTACGTTCAAAGCCCAATTTGGCGAAGATAATTTTCAAAATACCTAATTAAGAAAATGAAACCAAGAAATGTTAGGTAATTCCTTTCCAAGAATGTGACCTAAGAGTGGATGAAGTTTTTTTAATATTAATTTCACCTTATGGTAGTAGATATCTGATAGGTGCATGCGCACAACTTTGCTCGGATACGAGCGTCGTTTTAAAAAATAAAAAAGAGAAAGAAGAGGGAAACTTTTGTAGGTTCCCCACCCTAAAATTAGCAAAGCTACGAAATTGGGCATGGGTAAGTGGTATATGAAGAAACTCGAATGGAAACTCACAACTCTTCACTACTCCATATATGTAATTTACAAGGTGGAAGTAGCTTTAAAAAGGACCACTAAACCAAGGCGTGCAGAACTGAACTTCAAACTCACATCTTTTATGTCTTCTTGTGCTTCAAAAGCTTGCATAATTGGATCAAATTGCCCATATACATCCTCTTGACAATTCAACTTCAACGCTCTATAGAATATGTCTATAACATCCATTGCTTTTGCTCTTCTTTATTTTGGCATTTTTTAGAAAGCAGAAAGGCCCCTTTCTTACTTCTTCTTCATTTCTTTTTTGTATTGAGCCAAATTGTGCGACTTTGACTTCAGAGCTAAATCTATCCCTCCTAAAAGAGAATATTTTCTAGGATGGTAAGATTTTTTGAAAGTGATATAGAGTGTCTGTCTGCATTACATGGATAGATATGTCGATTTCAAAGAAGTCAGAGGTCTGATATAATGTGAATTTTGGTTTTATATCTTTGTGGGAAAAGTAGAAACAATTATCTTTTTTATTTATAAAAAGATTATGCCATATTTACCAGATCCATTAGAGAAAAGTGTTAGCATTTCAAGCTTTGTATCTTATCTTATTTAATTTGATGCATGCACGTGGTGCAAGTAATATTTTTTTATAATGGTAGTCTCAAGGCCAATTTGTGTTCTGTTATTCTCTAGCATCCGTTACTTTCCCCGGTATAGGTACTAACTAATTTTGCCCATCAACTCTTAGGTAGTTGGAGAAATTCATGTATATTTTTGTCTTTGTTAGAATTTGAACTATATTTGTTCTTTCTAATGTTTTTTACTAAGTTGGTTGAGGTGGTGCAACTAAATTATTATCCTCAAACATGTGTACTTCATTACCATTACACGATGTTGGTTTCAAAGCTAAGCAATGGATTTCCAGAACGGGAGCTTGAAAGCAAAAATGAGTGAATGGTTAGGAAGACATATAAATACATAAAGGATTAGTACTTGAGAGTAAGATGATATTATTGGGGTTTTACGTACATAGAAAAATAACACCGTAAAGCCACGGTAAAAATAATAATCGAAAAAATGTATAAAATTTATATATCTTTTGTATATATATACATTATGTATATTATATACAAAATTCATACACTTTTGACTACCAGATATAAATAGTTTCAGGCGTGGGCTAAAAGTTATAATATCCCTAGAAATAATCAAGAAGTACTCTTCATGATTCTGATCCAGAGTATACTCCTATACATTGCGTAGGTAAATAACTAATCAAGAACGATGGTTTATGTATGCTTTCTTGAAAATAAGATAAAACATTTTATTTTGCTGGAATAAAATTTTATGTTCGGGAGAAAATGGGAAGAAGGGCAGAAAGGAATCAAAATGAAGAATCACATACTGCTGTGGACAAAATGTGGCCTCCAAGCTCTAACAAATCTTGATGATTCAGTTTGAAGCTTGAAAAGTGGAAGGGAATAGAAATTTAAATCTAGAGAAAAAAGGGTGCATTCTCCAAATTTGTTAACCATGCCAAGGCAAATAATGAAACTCAATTTGAAGGAAAAAAAACATTTATTTGTAAATTTTGTACACTTCTCAGGAAATATTTAATAGCCTTAATCATAAGGTATTTGTTTAAATTTTTATACTCAAATTTCATCCCTTGTCTTTTTAATGCCTCCAAGCAAGCAAAGGTTTTCGGGGTAATCGCCGCGCATCCTTTCTATGCTCCGTGACAACGGCGTACCCCGAAACAACAAAGGAGCCAGTCTTCGTCGTATATATCCAAATGTTAATTTGACACTACTGCATATAAATTTACGACGTATATATGTTATATAAACACAAGTGTATATTATCTAAAGGAACTGAAAAGGCAATGAAAATTATGGATGAAGAAAACACTATCTAAAGGAAATGAAAAGGCAAGGGATATGGTACTATAAAATCCAAACAAAAAGATACCGTTTACAAGCCAATCCAAAGGGTCCTGGGGACATTATTTCTACTAAATTTTCTTACAGGGGAATTTCTTTTATTTATATGCTCAACTCTTTGGAAGTACAAGCATGTTTCCTCAGCTGTGAATGAAGGCGATCGTACTATCCCTCCCCGCGTGTCTGTCTGCATGTAAAAACAGTGCAGCATCAGCAGTCACACTTTCCACAGCTTGAAAGGAGCTTTAGCATATCCAATAAGCTAAGATCAAAGGAGCGGATAAGTAGATAGTGCCATCATGTTCCATTACTTTTAACATGTTAACAACATAAGCTAAACTCAGCAAGAACGGTCTAGAAACACTATGGTGCAGTATTATTTTGCCATATCAGAAGATCAGATGTGGTCTGTACCTAAAAGAAATAAGATCGATACTCAAGTTTATGACTGACCTGTATCCTATTACATGATACAGAATATTTTCTTTATTCAGATAACATTATCTCAAATTAGTCAACCTACTGTAGCTAGATGCAGGTTTGGAATAAGATCTTGACAGTATTGTCATATATCAATACGATAAATAAATAGTTTAAAACTTTTAAAAATGTCAAAATATGAATGAATCAATCGACTGTACTTCAATCCCAAATTAGCTTGGTGAGGCTATATGAATCCTCTATATCTATTCCGCTACTAAAAGGATGTTACATCAAGATAATAATCAGTAGCTTTAGATTGTTAAATTAAATTGTTCTCCAAAAGTCCTCCAATTAGGGAAAGTGATAAACTACATCATGACAGACAAAAAAGCAGGTCAACTAATATGGAAGGATCAACAATCTCACAGTTACGTGAAGTAACATAACAACCAAAAAGAAAATGGGCATGGTTTTCAGTTTCATTATTTGTCCTATCCAGCTTTATGCAAAGGTTGTGTTAGAAACTGTATTTCTTGAAGATAAGATTTGTTGCTGGAGTATAAAAACTGAGAAAGAAAGGCCAACCCTCGAGCTCAACTTGGTAAGGCTTGTAGTGGCTGCAGTCTTGGCAACTTTTCCTAATGGATAAGTTTAACAACATACTAAATTAGCCCAAGATGTTTAGTCACAAGGTACACATTACCTGAAATGAGTAAAATATGAATGTACCTCAAATAATAGACTTCTATTTGTATGAAGAAGCAGCTCTGTAAGATGAACAGTAGGCCAGCTCTTTCAATAGGGACACAACATCAGCTGATGAACCAAGAAGGTATCTGGAAGTAGAGCACTTTCTACCAACTGCACAAGAGAAGTAGTTATCAGCCTTGAGGTCAAGAACCGATGACCCTTCATGAACTGTCATTCTATCACGCATCATGGACCACCAATTTCCATTTTCATTACTGCCAGCTTTCTTGTCTAAGGTTGAAGCTTGCTGGGAAACTTTGTAACTAACTGCCCGGTGCCCGCTTTTACCAGCTGAATGATTTGAAGTATTTCTATTGAGATGGTTAGCTATCTTGTTTCTTGTAGTTGCTGCTTGTCCAAGAGGAAGCTCTGGCTCAAAAAATGAATAAATATCTTCATCCTGAAAGACAACAGTTTACTGCAAACTAAGTGTTCATTGAAAAGAAATACACAAGGAAGAAAACAAGAATTACGAGTTGTACCTAAATGAATGAGTGATACATAACAATTTTTCATGAGCAATATTCAAAGATGGATGCAAAATGAAGCTACTAGCAGTGAGGTTCTGTGAAGCTCTTGACAAAGCTGCTGGGGAGAGCGGGTGGGAATAGAGGGTCTTTCAAGCTTCTCGTCAATGAGCAGTTGAAAAAACTTAAACCAAAAGTCGCCTAGAGTCCCTGGGAGAGGAACATCCAGGAGTATAAGAGCAATGTTATTAAAAGCCATCTCATTGTCTCTTAAATCGATGAAGCGATGTGAAGCAAGAGGTTATCGCTTCATGGGTGAGGACATAGGCTTCATAGAAGTTTGTGCTTCAAACAATGACGCACAAATAGATTCCAACGAAAAGCAGACGGTTGTTTGAATCTCAATTGCAGGGAATTGGATTAATATCAGCACTTCTTTTATCACGGTAGTGAGGACACCAACTTGAGCGCACCTCGACTATTCCACCAGAACCAGGTGCCTGCTATCTCCCACTAGCATTGATACCAGGCAACTCTCATATCGGCATTATTGCACATTGGATATTGAATTAATTGCAATTTGAATTATAGTCGTTAATCAATATATGTTTAGTATATTTTAATGTCATAAATTGTGCACTTCACTTCTGAAGGACTGAGAAACAGCAAACTACTACAGCTACAGACAAACAGGCTGATAATGTAACTGAAGGCAAACGTGGCCCCCAAAAGGCCACAACAGGCTCGGAAAAAATCCGCAGACATTAGAGGGGTCCGGAGAGAAGTCTGTGGGGTACTATATACTATCTTGCTCGGACTCGGGTGCGGGTATTCGATACAGGTTAGGATCTATGGGTCGGATTCTTCATCACATAAATTTAGGATTCGAGGGTATGGATCCAAGTGCGAATACGGTGCTAGGATACATCAAATAAATGTATTTTACAAAATATAAAGTATATATCTCGATTAATTAAACTTATTGAACTAAACTAATAAAATTCAATTCTTTATAAACACTTAATTTTTTATTCATAAGATATCTCGCGTAATAGCAAAGCATTCTCTTACTTTACATAACTATATATATAACTACCATTTCTTCTCATGGAAGACTGAGTAGATATACCCTGAGGCAAGGCAATGGAGAAAGTCAAAGAGGCATAGTGTGCACTAAATATCAGCAAGGACTCAACAATCTTTGTTAATTTGCTCGAAGGTGGAATAATAGGTAATTGATTAGTGTATTAGAGAAAGCTGCAGGAAAAGCTGTGTAGGGATCAACAAACTTTAGAAGGCTCTACAGGGTGGTTCTGTTGATCGCAACGCAGAAGTGCTTAGGATCCAACTCATACCTAGTATGGAGTTTTACACCATCTATTGTTTCTCTCAAGGTGACAAAGTGAAAGAAAAGTATCCTGAAAGTTGACAGATGTCATAAAGATTCTCAGTGACCTTTTCGAAGTCAAAGTACACTAGGCCATTGAGTGGACACAATTGAGATTATGGAATCTGAAAATAGAGAAGATAGATGACTTAAAAGTTAAAAACACATATGCTTGACATTAAGAAAATTGTTTTTTCAAATGGAAGTATCAGGTGCCCTGATGCAGAATTTCCCTTGAGAGAGCTAATGAATACAAAGTCAGAGCTAGGGAAGGTCATTGAGGAGCTAAGGGAAGAGGGAAGAACTTTGTGCCTGATTTTATTAGAGAGATCTCCATCTTTGAAACCTCAGATTTGAGGATTCTATATTGGCCTTGGCCAGCTTGCACACACCTCGACTATTCCATCGGGTACCTGCTACCTCCTACTAGCACGGGTACAGGGTAATACTGCCCACCAACGCTTAGGCAGATGAATCTTATCTAGGTGCATTTTCCTCTGCTGGGATTTGAACCTGACAACTCATGATTCTTCCTCTTCTGCTGCATCAATCAGTAACAGTATTTCCATTTTGGAGCGCCGCTTTGGCTATAAGCTTAAGATTTAGCTACACCTTCATTTCTAATCCTTAACTGTTTTGGATAATCCATCAAGGCAACTACTTAAGAGAAGACTGATTTCATATCTAAAACTTCCACAAACTGACAAACATCCGGAAACTGCGATAGTTGAAAATGTGAAATATGCAAGGAAAGATTTCCGAGTTATTGGGACAAGTATTTGAGATGTGGCTTCAGAATTTCCTGCAAACTTGGATGCTCAAGGTAGGGGTGGGCATTCGGTACTTCAGTTGGGTATTTCGGTATTCAGTTTATCAATTGTGTATACCAAATATCGTACCAAAGTAGTTCAGTACGGTTCGGTATTTCTTATTTTGGTTCGGTACGGTTTTGGTTTGATACATTTATGGATTCATGTCTTTTAAAAGGAATTCGTTTACAAACGTGAATAGATGATATAAATGGAGAGTGGACACGCTGTGCTAAGCTAGCAGGCTGTATGAAGCATTTCACAGATGAGAAATGCCTCAAGGAACACATAGAGAGTTGCCACCAGCATATTGTGTGTGAAATATGTGGAACCAAGAAATTGAAGAAGAATATTAAGCGGCATCTCCGCAAGCATTTCACAGATGAGAAATGCCTCAAGGAACACATAGAGAGTTGCCACCAGCATATTGTGTGTGAAATATGTGGAACCAAGAAATTGAAGAAGAATATTAAGCGGCATCTCCGCAAGCATTTCACAGATGAGAAATGCACGCATCAGAGAGAATAAAATGTGAATCCCAGGATTGTCAGCACACTTTCTCCACTGTAAGGGACTGCTGCATTTTCTTTTATGTAAATAAAGTTCCTTTCTCATCATCCACAACTTAAAAAATTCTGTCCATAATGATAACATATGAAGTAAACCATAGGAAATACACTTAATCTAAGCAAGGGGGCTTGGGATATTGGGCTTAGGCTTATTGGGCTGGAAAATAGAAATAGAGGTGGGCTTGGACTTAATTATTTCGGTATTTCGGTATACCGAAATATCAAAAATTCAGTACCGAGTACCGTACCGAAATACCGAAAAATCTATACTGAAGAATACCGAAAAAATCGATACCGAAATACCAAGTTAATTCGGTTCGGTTCGGTTCAGAATTCGATTTTTCGGATTTTATACCCACCCCTAGCTCAGGGGGACCTCATGAAACTTTTGGGAAAAAGTAAGTCTTTTGACCAGGCTTTGATAAGCAGGAGTGGGTTTCCTCTACCAAACAACTTGAATAACCAAACTAGTACTCAATAACAACAACAACAACGACCCAGTAAAATCCCACTAGTGGGGTCTGGGGAGGGTAGTTTGTACGCAGACCAAACTAGTACTCAGTGCATCCCATTTTGTACGACCTGTCCTGACTTTTGAGGAATTTAAGAGAAATATTTAAATGAGTTACTACAATGGAGTTCAGTAGATATATGTCAAATACTTAATGGATGATGTGAGAAGGTATCAAGATGTTGCATCAAATAGAAAGTAAGACTGAAGTAGAATTACAAAAAAAGGTAGAACAGCAAACAGCATTACTGTGGTGGACGGCGGACACCACCATTTAAGAAGGTATATTTGTTCGATGAGCTAAAATAGAAAGCAAGTAAAACAAGATAAGATCAAGTAATAATTAAATTCAAAAACTACCACAAGGTCCAGGTAGCTGTATAGAACTAAAGAAAACAAATAAGCATGTTCAATTATTTGTGCCCTCAAAAAGACAAACTATTGACAAAACCACAGGAAGAAAGCACATTTATGTAAGAACATCCTCTTAAGATGCAATCTGCCACAAAATCCAACCACAAAAACCATGCCAAGTTATATGATGCGCAAAGTTTTTAGGTCAAAATGGAGTTCCTACACTGCAATTTAAAAGCTTAAGTGTCCAGACTGGTCAAATATATCTGCTATTAGCCGTAACTTTCATCCAAATAGAGCATTTAACAGTTAATTCAGCATTTTGTCAACCATAACATAAAAAAGATTGCACACCTTTGGCAGAAAGTGCCCTATGCATAAAACATAATCTATTGGTGCCTTGACATCATTGTTATGCACTATTTCTCCCAAAATACGATCAATTGCTGCCCCCTGTACAAGAATAAGCTGCATAAGAAAATAATCAATTTAACACAAAATGAACATTCTAGGAATGACAGCACAGACCTTAGTAACACCAACTGCTCGAACCTCAACGGATCGACTACCCTGGACTACATCTACAGAAGCATTTGAAATTGGGCCTGTCCACAAATGTTGCAAGAGATCTTTTGATTGAAGTCTTCCAAACTCGATATCTGCATGCTCAGAACCCAATAACAGAATAAGTAGTCCAAAACCACAAATAAACATAAGGGTATTTATTTGATTAAAGATGGACCTAAATTGGGCATAGATTAATGACCTGTATATTTATAGTTCCAAACAAGTGAGGTCTCACGAAGCTCAAAATGAGAACGAGGGGTCCTCTCAGTGAAATACTCAAATACATGCTGAAACAAATGAAGATAGACTATGATTTCAAAAACTTCACAAATTTGAGACAATTCAAGTTCAAAATACAGTGTTTCACCTTCACGCTGTCAACCCAATCCATATTTAGATTTTCAGGCATCGTAGTCATCCAATTCCCCTCTGTTTGTCGCAAAAACATTCCATGTTCAGCAGCCAACCACATCCTATATTCTCCAAAATTCTGTAGAAGAAGTCAGTCAACAAATATAAATGCTGATAGAAAGACGCTAACTTAGGAAAGTAGGACACCTCATCAAGAACATTCCGGTCACTTCCACTGAGGACAACTACTGTCGTTTTTGGGTCATTACAGAGCTTTCTTAAAGGTTCTTTTAAATCTGGATGCAACTTAAGCTCCATTTCTTTTAGTTGATCAATCCTTCTTCCCTGGGCGTCCACTGGCTCTGTTAATGTGGCATTGAAACCCTGAATTACAGAGAATGACTATCAAAACCAAGTATTCCATATTTGGGGAATTGAAAGTAGCTTATCCCCTGTCTTCGTCATTTATATGTTCAAAATTTTTAGAACTGTAATGAGAAGGAGCATTCAAAACACATAGTAAATGAGACAAATAGCTTAGCGCAAGCAAAAATACACAGTAAATTGGACATTTAGTTTGACTAATTCTCTACGATACAGTCCCACTCCACTTCCAACAGGCCCAATAGACTATCTATAAATTAATAAATGCAGTTGGTAAAAGCAGCTCCACACGGGGAAGCGTGGAAAACTATAGATCCTCCTAATTTGGGAGGGATTTAAAAAAAAGAAAAAAAAATGGAAATGGAATAGTAGAGAATAAGTGGAGCAGTGAAGGAAAAATAACTATTTTACCAATAAATATCATGACTAAAGCTAGATAGAACTTTTTGTCCTCATTTGGGCAAGTGCCAAGGAAGCTTTTCTTGGAAGCAAAAATGTGACTTTGAGAAAACGGCAACATCAGAACTACCTTGTCCTCGGTTAATAATATAAGTAGGTGAGACATCGTAACAGAGAAAAAAATATAAGTATCCTAGTGCAGAAACTCTTTATATGTGCATAACCTTATGCAACAGCATCACATGTACCCTACGACGATAGTTTCTTAAGACGACATCATCCCTTTGATATTACAAACATTTTTTTCGACAAATAACAGCATAAGTTCATCATGAGACATTTTGATAAAAGCCAGTTCAGCCCTTTATGTTCAAATATGTCTCAGGCAGTAATGAGCAACAACAGACTCCAGTCCCAGTATTGAATGGGATCCTATAGTAGTAAGGTGAGGTTAAGTAAACATGTGCAGCACTAATGAAGAAATGACAGGATATAGAGACATCAGTATCTGGTCAAAACAGCTATAAGTTCAGTCTTTCCATATCCTTTATCAAATTCATGAACCAAAAGTCAAATAAATGGTTTGAGAAGGCAAATGAAATAACATCCTGAGCAAAGCAAGCCGTAGAAATCCGTATAGGAGCTACTACAATTGCTTCGGCCTGAGCTGCTGCCAATAATTGGAAATACATATGTTTAAATGCACGCTTTTAAAACATTTTCTGCTTTTATGAACAACTAACTGTACAAACTTCATCTTTCAATAGAATGTAGAATTCACCAGCAGTGTCATACTGCACCGGCTTCCTGGATTTTGATCCTTTTGAGTTGACACCAAGTACTAAGACCACAATAATATACATAAAAATTATAATCAAAGGGTGGAATTAGGGTATTACAAAAAAAAAAAACATATAATATTTTTGCATTTTGGTGAAAGGAAAAAGGACTACCAATATAAGCAACCGATTATTTGATCGCAAGTAGCGCTCGATAGCCAATTTGGTAGGTAGCTGAGGCGGAATTTGTCTAGTCCTCAGTTGAGCTTCAACAACTGTATCATTGAGTTCGCTGCATAGAAGAAGAAAAAAGTAGTAGCATCAGATTGCACTAGGATTGACATTGGGCAAAACCGATTAAAAGAGTGTCTGAGCAAACTGTTTGTCTTGTGACCGCTTCTTGATATTGTTATTGATTTAGATTTAACGTGAAAAGTACATAATGTAGAGCACAAAAGCAGATCCTTTATTATCAAAATACAAATGTGACAAGTTTAAACCATAAGAGCTACTCTGACACATTAATGACAGACCTTACAAATGTTTCAGCCCATTCCTGGGAAGTGTGAGTAGTGACATGCATGAAGTTATGGTGATGTCGTTTTTCTCTTTCATGGGCAGACATTGTTAGAGCATAACCAATAGAGGACGCAAGTTCTGTAACATTCCACGGGTTCACCAAAATAGCCCCAGCACCAAGAGACTGTGCTGCACCTGCAAACTGTAATTGAGGAAATATTATGGCAAGAATACAACAATATGCCTCAGTCCCAAACAAGTTGAGTCAGCTATATGAATTCTCGCTGACCACGTTACTCCATTTAAGTCATCTCATGCGAATGTTATGCAAGAATATGCCACTCAAATCATTTGTATAGCACGTCTACATGTGCAGTAGCAATCTGATGATTAGTAAACAATATTTATAGGGAGGAAGATTTTATCTAAGGATATGATGCCACTTTCCATCCTGAATCAAATTCCAAAAGCCTTCTGAATTCTAGAAGCTAATGTAAACTTGCATAAAGAAGTTGAAGCAGAAATAAAAGCAACAAAATAGACACTATCATATATCCCTTTTTGCATGTTGAGGTATTCATTACCAACGCCAGACAAGGCCTTTGCAACACTATCTCTCTATCTTCTTAGGCAAACCATTAAGATTTCCTGGAGCTTCTTTGCTACTAAGACCATTGTTGAGAAGGTGAACATAGTGAATAGCTCAACCCCAAAAACAAGCTCAATCATGCAGAGAGACTACAATCATACTTAACCTATATGGGATGTTAACAACCCTCACCCCTTCCCCCCATGCTCAAGGCTGGGTGTCTGGAGCGTAGAGCAACATAACGTGTGTGATCCAACATTAGGTAGCCCAACATCGAGGATGAGCCTAGTTCTGATGCCATGTTGAGAAAATAACCTAGCTCCTATATCAACCCGAAAATCTAGCTCAAATGGTGAGAAAAGGTCATATGCTTACCGATCAAGGATTCTAAAAATGTTATTAGTGAAATCATATCCATAGATAAAAAGAGAACTGCCTACCTCACTTAGAATTAGGACTCCTTTCTTGGATGCTTGGCAGGCCACAAACTCATAGCTGACAAGATTCATTCCATCCCTTAGGGATGTAACTAGAGCAACATCTAAACAAATTGCAAGAAACAGAAAAACAAGTGACAAAAGGGGCAGAAAGTGTATTCAGGAAAACTTTAGGCACTTTGAAACTAACAAGTGTTATCAGAACCATCATAAAATTGGTGGTATGAATTAAAAAAGAAATAAAATGTTAAAAAATAAATTATTATGTGCTGCAAACAAGAAAGATACCAACTTGTCCTTTCAAGTTTCTAAAGAGTAAGTTTTCTTGGTCACCCATCTAGTTTCTTTTTTGCCCTCAACATATACTATCATACATGGACGTAGCCAAAACCCAAAAATCTAAAAACTAATAAACAGTAGTATTAGTACATTCATATGTCAGTTCAGGACATCATCCTAGGACCGATAAGTAATTTGCGATCTTATAAAAGCTATGGCACAGACGGCTGCAAGTTTTGCTTTCTTTTCTTCAGATATTGAGCAGGCAACCCCCTGGGAATGTGTTGTTGTTTTCCTTTTTCCCCTTCCCTATATCTGCCCCTCTCTATCAGAAGAATTCAACTATGTTTTCCACCTTCTAACCATGTTAAAGTTATTTCCAGTATAATTTATAGGAAGATAACAAGAATGAGTACCAGTGACAGCATAAATTGCGCACAGTGCATGAAAATCAAGAGAGCGGTCCTGTAAATATAGAGAGAATATCATTAGAATCTTCACAAGGTTATGGAAATCGCTCATAAAGCAAAGAGGAATGATGAGAAGAAGTAGCAGAAAAAGCTGAAATGAGAATAAGAAATACCAAATGCCAGCAACCAGAATCATGAACTCGTTCTCAAACTCAAAAATTCACCATTCAGTTTATTTTACTGTAAAGAGGAAGATCCTTGTTTTATATCTAGTTGGCTTGATTCTTGGGACCATAACATCACATTTAATCAATGCTTCTGTAACCTAACACCATCTTGGTATATCTATAAACTTTAGTTGACTTACCCCCACAAAAATATAAAATGAAAAAGCACCCTATAGGAGTAAAAAATATTCCCATAGGAACCATCCCTTTTCAAAAACATTTCCTCTTATTATCAACCACTTCATTAAACACTGTTGTATTCAAGCAACAAAAGTTAAACTGAAAACTTAGTGTTGATACTTCAATTGACTCAATTCCATGATGTTTAACTGACCATCAATCTCAGATTGTAGACCTATAATTAATGTTTTCTACTCTCAGAAAAAGTAATGGACAAATACCATCAATGAATTGAAAGCTTTCTTGGGAAAATGACACCACATGAAATCTATTCAGAGGATATGCAATTCCAGTAGAAAACATAAAGAAAAAGATTTTTCCGGTTCAGAGGATTTGCAATTCAAGCAGAATAGATAAAGAAAGATAAAGATTTTCCCGGTTCAAGAGCAATATATTTTCTAATCATATATGATTAAAACCAAAGAAAAAACACGGAAGAACCAGACCTTCAGTATAACGACGTGACCTTTTTGATTAAGATGTAAGTAAGTATTAAAAGCAAGCAAAAGATAATGCCGTTCAGAGAAGATAAGATTGATGGAACCCTTCACATAGAAATGCTACACCAGCAAAATAATTCGGCTTATTTTATGTTACTGGTTAGTGTTATAGACTTTGTCAAAGTATTGGGTTTTTTCCCTTCCGATAAGTAGAGTGATGTCAAAGTGTTGGGCTTTCTTCTGCCACGAAGTAAAATAAGAAGTGAAACGTTTTTTTTTTTCAATCCATTTCAGACTCAAGTTTGCATTAATCGACCTGATGCCTCAAAGTAGTAGTATTTGAAGCACGGAAACTATACTTTGAGGATTTGACTATGCAGCATTACCTGATAGAGTCTCGATGAGTCTATTTATCCAGCAGAAAGCTGTAACAATACAAGGTTTCCTGACATAAACTAGCTGCTTAATCTCTAACAACAGCCCAAACACTGCCTGTATTAAATTTTAGCTTAACCAACAAAGATTTCAAGCAGAAGCGTTTACCAAGAGTTAAGTGTTAAAGGTAAGTAATTCCTTAGTTTGTCCTTTACTTTAAATATACCCATCCAGCCCAACTACAATTCAGAAGACGACAAATGGGTATACTCATAGCCATTCCTGTATAACAAGAAATTTTTATATAAGACTTTTTTCGGAAATTACTTGAATGACATCTCAAGAGTTAATACAGTATCCTTAGTATCCTTTTGTATCTGTTGCAATATTTCTTTCACCTGTAGTACAATAAATTTCTAAAACTGCCAGGTGCGTGTCCTCATGCTCAAGGTTCAACTGCGTTTCTGTATTGACATAATAATCAAAAGAAGCCGATCAACCATGACGAGGAGAAATTTTCAAGGAGTAAGCTAAATATTCCCGAAGTATAAATGTACTCTCAGAATTGCTTTGAGCATTTTAGTAGGTTATATCAAAAGGAACCTAGAATCATTAATTAAAAAATGACATCAGAAAAAATGAGAGCTCCAAATTTAAGAAGAATTCTGAAGTAATCTAGTATCTGTGCCCCACCTTTAATAGAAGCTGGGGGAAAAAAGGCAGAGTCAGGAAACACTCATATATGTCCAATCCAAAGAGGAAATGATAACAGAAATCTTTCCATGAATAAAGAACTTTTTATAACGGGATCCCTTTGGAAGAAATTTTTTTTGCATTAGGAACAAAGTAAAAGGATAAAGATTTTCTTGAGTATCTACAGATATGGACTACCCAAATTATAGCATAATATCAAGACACCAGAGAACAAACAAAGAAACATAGCTGATGAATCAGCCACTGACCTGTTATTTGTGTACATTAATCGAGAAGATAAATAATATGCAAGTTCTTAATCATAATGAAAGGCCTTAACATTTTAGCAAAGATAGGATTCACATTGAGATTCCTTTATGTCGCATAACATTGAGTACTATTGAGAGTCGTTTGTCTTGTAGCATCAAAACCTTTTTGATATTTGGTCCGTTTATTCTACAATTATGCCTGTTATGAGTTACGAATGACAAAAATCTTCATTATGACTTTTATATTTCAGTTATTATAGTTTCCTTATAAGTAAAATTGTCATGGTGTGTACTACCTCACATTCCCAAATCTACTTTTATTTTATTACGACTGTGGTGTTCGGGCCATCTTGTGCACTCCTCGACTATGGCATCGGCTACCTGCTACCTCCAAATGCACAAGCACTGGTTAACTCTACCAACCGAGACTTAGGCAGACGCGAAGAAATCACCTAACGTGTTTTGTCTGCTGGGATTTGAACTCTAGCCTTCCATTGTTTTCAACCCTCGGTGCTGTCCAACTCTACATTTTACCCTAAACAGATGTGAATATCCATGCTAAGCAGGTGTATTTATACCATAGTACCTTGAGAAATTCTTTTCTGTTTCTGCAATCATAAAGTTTTAAGGGGTGAACTTACAGGTCGAGATGAAGCATAAATATGTTGAAATGTGAATTTAGACTTAATGAAAATAAGAGTAAAGGAAAAACAATGTTAACCAAATGTTGAGTTTAATGCGCTTTTAATATATGCCCGTTTGGCACTTCACACCTTGTTTTTATCTTTTTATGATTTGGTACCTAACTTCATACTATTTAATGTATAAGTGCTGGCTCAAAATTAGATTCTGAGTCATGTGTCAATCCAGCAAACAAAAAGGAAATAATTATCATAATTAGATATGGGTAAGGAAAGGGCCAGGAGGGTTGGATTGACAAAAGAGAATAGATGGAAAGTAAATGAGTTAAGGGTATGGCGAGGATGCAAATTCAGCGTCAAGTTAAGAGGTGGCAAGGGGTGAAGGGGAAGGCATTGCTGCAAGGAAACCAGTCTCCCACTTTATACTTGTAAGAAAACACTCAACATTTTGGCAAGAGATGAGTTTCTCAACTGTACCGTTTCAGGATCAAATTGTAAAATTAACAAATTTTGCTGCAAAGTACCAAATGTTGAGTACTTCACACCGTAAAATGCTTCTAACTCTACAATACTCCTTCAAAGACATAGGTATTATTGCATTAATGTCACCAGTAAATCAGAGGATTCAAAAAGGTACTCCTAAGACCTTTATTGTTATATCTTTCTTTATTTTTTCTTTTTGATAGAGGGGAACCTTGGAGCAACGATAAACTTGTCTTTCATGTGACCTATAGGTCGCATGTTTGAGTCGTGGAATCCGCCATTGATTAGACTGCCCACATCATACCCCCTTGGCGTGCAGCCCTTCCGCGGACCCTGCGTGAACGCGGGATGCTTCGTGCATCCGGCTGTCATTTTTTCCATTTTTTCTTTTTGATAACTCCTTATCATTTGATCATTATGATCTAGTGTTAAAATGGGGAATGGGAGACAGTGAACATTTTTGTAAAGAAAAAATGACAAAAACCAACTTTGGGAATAACCAATAACCTGTTAATCTTACTGTAAAACTCAAGCAACTGAGAAGACCCACTTGACACAGAATGAACAATATCATACCGATTCAACATTTTAAGAAACTGCACGGCATCCAGAAATTACAGCATTCCTAAAATTTAAAAAACCTAAAATGGAAAAAAATAATTCTCAAAATGCAGAAGAATCAATTGTTGAAAATAAAAAACAAAACAAGCTGCACCAACTTAGGACTTTACAAAAGTATCAACAAAATCAAATTGCAAAGAAAAGAGCCTAGCATGAATAATACAGTAATACATATCCATTAATATCAACAATTAAATTCATATTATAAAGTAACAAGAGACAGACCAAATGATGGATCGGGACAGCTGTTAGAGTTCCAAATCTTCCATTGATGCGTCCCACAATTTCATGTACTTGGCACGTAAGTTTTTGATCTGCCCAACAGGTTTAATAAGGAAATCCCATGAAAAATACCAAAATGTTTAACATATAACAAGGCTTTCTTGGCAATAATATACCTTACTACCCATATAAGGATTTTATTTTCAATTTTACAAAGTTAGTCCAAAAATCAGAAGTTTTGAGCCATCTTTTTCAATGATAATTTGACGATAGCGTATATATAATGCACTATAATTTTAGAAATTACACTAACAATTAACTATTCAATACAAAAAAAAATCTTGAAAGATCATTAACTAATGTGCTTTATAAAAATAAAATTAAAAAAAAACTACTGTGCTTTATAGATATGAATTGTGCTACTTGGTGCAAAATCTTTTTTTTTTTTTTTTTT